TATTATTGTGGATCTTGCTTCATTATACTTAGAGGGGCCTTCCTGCTATTGCAGAAAAAAGAGGCCACAGGAGTAGCATCAGTAGAGGAGGGAGAGAGTTATGTGGAACACTTGCAGACTGAGATCTCTGTATTGCCTCATCACAATTCCTGTACTGTGGTAGCCATTTGGAATTTCTGAGCATGTTGATTATGTGCCTTTGGCTACGTTGTCCAATGCGATTGCCTCACTGATTCTGTTCCATATAGGATATCAAACTGACTGCATCTTAGTGTGGAAAAGCCCTCATCTTCTTTGTGACAGCAGCTGCATATTATTGACTGGCTGCGGGCAGAAAGCCAACAAATACAGGGATTTCTTGAGTTTACTCTGATCTGAAAAGGTGCTTCAGAGTATGCAGGGGAGATGTAAAGCACCTTTTTGGAATCAGATCTAAAGCACCACACAGCTGTAATCATTGCTTACCTTGGTCGGATTTGCTTCATTATATAAAATGTATATAATATATAAATAATATTTGCTTCATTATATAAAATGTATATAATATATAAATTATATTAAACAAGCCGGGCTGGCTTAAGATGAAATTTTTAACTGTTTTTAAATGTTTTAAACGTTTTTAATTGGTAAATGAGTTTTAATTGGGCCAAATTTATATATCTTTTAATTGTTTTTAATATTTGTTCTGCATGTTTTTTAATCTGGCTGTACACCGCCCTGAGTCCTCAGGGAGAAGGGCGGTATAGAAATCTAATATAAAATAAAATAAAATAAATTAAAAAAAAATGGCAATGTAGGTAATTCCACCTTTTCCCTGATACATCAGGACATATTCCCACAAAAGCAAAGCAGATATTATTTGGGTTATCTGTCTGGATTGATGTTTTCTCTATATCTGAAAGTCATAGCTCTAAAACTAACAACCAAATGAAAATTAAATAAATTCTGATAACATCTCACTTGAAGAAGAACAGGTGATATCTGCAGTGGATTTTGTAAGGATGTCCAGCTCTGTCAAACCATTGGGGAAGTGACAATAAGCAGAGAAAAGTGTATGAAGGACTCCAGAAGCAACATCTTGTTTTTATTCAGTTCTCTTTTGAGTCATTAACTGTCAGGCGCCAGTAGTTCTGAAACTTATCATTATTACAGCCACAAATGGGCTTTGATTCCTAAAGGAAGACTTTATCCTTTAGCTGGCCTTAGAAGAGAGGAAGAGGGGGCAAAACTGCCATAAAAGCAAAAAAATAAACTTTTTTTGGGAAAAAATCCAGAGTGAAATATAAAATGAAATTATTAAACCTTGATCTAACATAGCAAGCATAACTAAGTAGCCCATTTCATGGCAAAAGAAAACACCCAGATAACAGTATCCAGCAACTCTAATTATATTTAAGGACCAGAACAAGAAATGTTAGGCACGGTTTCTCCATTTTTCCTGCTTCTAGTACCCTCCCCTAAAATGTTTCCTGTATCAAATGTTAGACTGGACAGTGTTTGAGGCAAAATCATTTCTCTTCACATGCATCATATTTTTGGGGGTGGAAAATACACATTCTTCTATATCTCACTGAATAATAGCTTCATGCAGACCTACTTTGCTCAATTAATATTGAGGTATTAATATTCCAGCAATATCTGGAAGGAAGTCACCTAACTGGGAGTTGTTCTTTAAAGTTGTTCTTTAATTAAGTCACCTTAATGGGCCTGATGCCTTTCAGAAGAAAAAACCCTAGTCAACCTCTGGACGTCTTTTTCTCCTCAGGGGCAGAATGGAAGCAAGGTTTCCTACTCTTTTTGTTCAAATGGAAAAAGGAACTGCTTTTCCATGTGCAGCAGGGAGGGAAATTGCTTCCCATCTCTTGCTACACATGAGGAAAAGAATTGCCTCTACCTGCTCCAGCACTGACAGACGAAGTCTTGCTGAGCTGTCTTAACAACAGGGAGGACAATCTGTAGCAGAAAAGTGCTAAGAGACCTCTCAGCGTTGAGGGAAGATTAAATGGTGGGTTAATGAAATAGAGTTTGGACCCGGGAATAGGGGCATATACAGGGAAGGTTAAAAAAAAGTCAAGAAGGGAAACACTTCTTGCATGATAGAAACCCAGCCCCTTTTTATGTGCATGGGGGGGGAAAGCTCTGGAGGTCCATAAGCCTTGCTCTACAATCTGGAAATGTCTCCATACTTGATCTATATTTCTGCACTTTCTTGTATCTGGCAGTGGAACTAACTGTTCTAGCAGCTATTGGTCCTGTGGTGCTACCCATATGGAAAATGTGCAGTTTTAGGCTGTGCTTGCAGAACCCACAGCCTGTGACTCATTTACTAATGATAGTTTACTAAATTAATTCAATTGCTTCATACAATTCATTACACTATAAACAAGACAACCACATTCTAGCTTACATAAAAGTACACTATAAAGTAGGTAAGTAACAAGGTTCAAAAACTTCACAAGTAAGTCTAAATCTGGTGCTGTTCAGTCAGAACACATTGATATTAGGGACGTCCCAAAAATGATGTCCAATAATTTTGCAGGAGAAGCTAGGATTGGAGGAATCCAAAGCATTTCTATTTTCTCCAACATTTCCTTGGAACAAGAAAAAGATTCGGACACCCACAGCCATGGAAGTAGGATTATCTAGCTTCCAATAAGAGCAGCAAGATAGAAGAGGTAAAATCGAAAGAAAAACCATTAAAATGGCTTTCTATTTTATATTCTGCTTGTGCAAATTGATAAAACATACAATAAATCAGATTAATTTTTTCTGTTTTGATTCCTTAGCTGCTCAACAATTCATTCTGGACTACTAACAGGTTAAAAAAATACATAAAGAATGATTACAAGAAAAACACCAACATACTACAATATTGGGGACAAAAACTTACAAACCCTACTTTAAGTTAGGCTCATCCAGTATCCCAGGTCAGTTCTAAGATACTGCCAGGCCTTCAGAGTTTTTTTTCTAAAGGCCAGCAGAGTTGGAGGCATTCAAATCTCTGGGGAATGCTACTCCACAGGATTGGCACAGTGATAGAGAAGGCAGGCCTCCTGGATTTTCTTAAGTGACTGTTTAATAGACAGAACTTGAAGCACCCCAGCCCTGTCTAATATGTTTATATACAGGAATAATTCACCTTAGTTGTGATCAATTTCCAAAAGGTTCCTAATAATCAAGGCATGAAATGAAGCCTAGAATCATAAATTGTAATAACCCATGCATTACTTAACCCATGATCTGTTGGATAAGCCTTAATTGGCTGGGTATGTAAAACATGCCAAGCCAAAGCCAACCAGCCACATTATTGCTTAATATGATGAATGAAGTTGCTACAATTATATTGTTGACAGATCTGGATGATACTTTTGAAAATACAAACAGAGAAATAAAGTTTTTGATTATACAATGGAGAGTTGGGTTTGCACATCACATTAAATTAGCTTTCCCCAGCCTCAGTAGTAGCCTCCAGATGTATGGGTTTCTGAGAATTCCAGGAGTTGAAGTCTAACTTCTGGACAGTTTCTAGATTGGAAGAGCCTATGCTTAGACATAATGTGCAGGGTTTTAAAATATTTTTTGGCTTAGTGCAAATTTAGTGTGAACCCAGCCAACTACCATAATGGTGAAACAAGGCATGACTTTGAATAATGTACAAATTCAACATTTTTCGGTAAGAGTCAGCAGAGGGGAAGAATATATTAGTTTATATATTCACAATGAACACAAAATATTATTTTTGTGTTCATTGCTGATAAACATTTTGGAATCCCCCCAAACTGGAGGCTGTCTGTTAGAAGATTCCAGCCTATTTTTTGCCCAGCTGATAAAATAAGGGCAGCCTCATTGTGCCAACTGAACAGGTACTGCATTTGTGACTGCTTGCTTCAAGATGTGGAAGACTAAAGGCTAAAGATAAAAAATATTAGTAATTCTTACAAACCTTGTGCATAATCTCTAACACTGTCTATATGAAAATTGGTGCTGTGCACTACAGAGATGTTAGATGGAGAAAAAGAGAGATTGGGTGGAATCCTTTGAGAAGCACATTTTGGTACAAATCAGAAAAACCGATCTGCTCGTTTGGGCATCTCAGAGGATAAACAATAGTTGAATTTATATGCCCTGCTTAATTATGTCTAATTTTGGGGGGCTTCTCAGGACACACACTAAACCACAAACTAGCCACATGGGTTGAGTCCACAAAACATAAGGTAAAATGAAGTTGGCTAGATTGTGGTTCAAGGGCATCTTGTGCGTGCTTATACTCAGAGCATCAACAATTTCTGCTGTCAAATGCTGTAACTTAAAATACATTGCAGAGCTGTGATTTTCAGGAGAATGCATCCTCCTCTTTCGAATAAAACCACTCAGCGGGCAAATTATTGTCGTTACAAAGCAAATGTTCATCGAGGAAAGCGCTGAACTACGCCTTCCTCTATACTGAAGCACCTTTGGCTGTGAAAATGAAGCCTGTATGCAAAAGTTGGCACAAATCTCAAAAAAAGAGACTATTTTATGAAGCAGCCGGCTGCCCGACCAAGGGAAACCGAGGAAGAGTCTGAGAGAAGAAGAATAGAATAGAATAGAATAGAATAGAATAGAATAGAATAGAATAGAATAGAATAGAATTTTTATTGGCCAAGTGTGATTGGACACCCAAGGAATTTGTCTTGGTGCATATGCTCTCAGTGTACATAAAATACACCTTCCTCTATACTGAAGCACCTTCAGCTGGGAAACCTTCAAGGGAAACCGAGGAAGTGTCTGGGAGAAGAAGAAAAAGAAGAATAGAATAGAATAGAATAGAATAGATAGAATAGAATAGAATAGAATAGAATAGAATAGAATAGAATAGAATTTTTATTGGCCAATGTGTGATTGGACACCCAAGGAATTTGTCTTGGTGCATATGCTCTCAGTGTACATAAAAGAAAAGAAGAGGAGGACAATTCCTGGTGCAACCAAAATCCTCTTCCTCCCAGATTCCGAAGGCCGGGTCTTGTTTCTGGCCGGAAGTCATTTTCCTCGCGGCAGCGTCTGGTGTCCTAGAAACGGCCCGGCGGCCAAGAGCGGGAGACGGTTGACAGGATGCTGAACGCGGATCGCCTCTCTCAGCCGGGGCTCGAGTATCTGGGTGAGGCTCCAGCGGGCGCGGTGGGAAGAGGAGGAGGAGGAGGAGGAGAGGAGGGGGGTGAGGGGGGGAGGCGATGGAGATGGAGATGATGGAGATGCAAGTAGCTTCTTCGTTCTCGCCATGGGGCGAAGGTTGCCTTCCCGGGAGGGAGGAGGGAAAAATTGATTCTGGGCTCCCTCGGTCCTTTCTCGCCTGGGATGATGAGGCTGCTTCCCCCGCGGCGCAGAGTACAATGACCTCGCCGTTTGCTGGCTTGGGAGGGCGGGGTTGGGGCTATCGCCTTACCATCCCTTGGGTCACTTGCCCCGCTCGGTATTTTCCTCCCCTCGTCGGAGGTGGAGATATTATGATCCTTTTAGGGGACCAGGACAAGCAAACGTATCAGTGGAAGAAGTACTTGCTCGCTCTTGGGGCTATGAAGGGGAAATGATGGTTACCACCAATGTAACCATTTCGAAAATAACCATTTGAAGCAATAAAACATTTACTTATATTGTAATAATATCACTTTCCAAGTGGCTATAGGAGTAAAGAAGAGCCCCACCTGTCCCCGTGTACTTTGTGCTCCCTTCTCTTCCCCCCCATCATCTTTTAATGATAAATTGTCATTATTTATTGCTTTATCTTTTTGATGATTACTGGTTTTAATGTTGGTAAGCTGCCCAGAGTCACCTCTAGATGAGACGGTTGGCACACAAAAGAAAAAGAAAGAGAGAAAAGAAAGAAAGAAAGAGAGAGAAAAAGAGAGAGAGAAAGAAAAAAGAAAAGAAAGAAGAAAAGAAAGAAAGAAAGAAAGAAGAAAGAAAGAAAGAGAGAGAGAAAGAAAGAAAAAGGAAGGAAGGAAGGAAGGAAGAAAGGAAGAAAGGAAGGAAGGAAGAAAGGAAGAAAGGAAGAAAGGAAGAAAGGAAGAAAGAAAGAAAGAAAGAAAGAAAGAAAGAAAGAAAGAAAGGCTATGTTACAATAACAGCCTAAACAGATGATTGTTCATCATCTGGTTCCATGGACGGTGGTGCTTCTGAGGAAAGTGGCCTGATTCACATATTGATAAGTCATAGTTTGTTGAACCATGGCACAGTTGTAAGATCTACCAGACACCCATTTCCTGGGGTCACAAAACCCTAAATTAAACAAAGTACAATACAATATGTTTTGGTGCAATGTGAGAGCCCACCAATTGTGGTTTAATTAGTAAATCATAGATCAGCAAATTATGGCTTAACACAAAGTGGGAATCTAGTCACTATGCAGGAAATTTCATTTACTACTGTAAAATATCTATAAAAATGCTTAATATCTAAATGTTTTATAATTTTCATCCACCCCACCCCCCAATGTCTACTCTGTGTAACTCCACTTATTTAATTGGGTCATTGTGTTGTGTGAACCCTATTTATTTTGTCTCAGGAATATACAGAATTTTCAAAATTATCTCAGTAGTTATGTATTCTACCTGAATTAGGATGTAGCAGTCAGGTTGTATCATAAAACAAGCTTAAGATGCTCTTCTGGCCTTTGGACATAGAGATGTGAGCCTAAAGAGGACCTGCTAAAATAGGAAATGCTAGGCACCATCATCATTATTATTCCATTTCCTTCTCTTCTTGAGTGTTGGGGAGTGAATTAGAAACAAAATTGGGGGGAAGATGGCTAATTTTTTTCTACACCTCGGCCATCTAGCTGTCAGTTGAATAGATGGTTGGAATACTGGGCCATTAGTCATCCTAATGCCTTTTACTAGTTTTTTTTTTTTTGGCCTATAGATACTTAGGTTAACAGTCACCTAGAAGCGGTAGTGGGTTTTTGAGTGGATCAAAATCATTTTGAATTCTTTGTCTCAACAAAAAGTTAAAGCCAAATCAAAATTTGACATATCACCTTGGTCTTCACAGCAGCGATGAAATCCACTTACCTTAGCTACTGGTTTGGGAATGGGAGTGCATGGGAGTGTGCGCAAACTATGTGCACACACACTTCTTCTGCACATGCACAGAGGATCAAAAACGGGATGTAATGATGTCCCGGCAGGTGGGCGGAGCCTCCCACCCTCGGCGCTACCAGTTTGTGTGAGCTGGATAGATCCATCCGGATTTCACTGCTGCTTCACAGGTAAAAGTACGCTCCCACAGACAGGGACTCCTCAGGGTGCCGTCAGCCAGGCAATGTCGGCTGGCGACCCCCAGGGGGAGGGCCTTCTCTGTGGCAGCTCCTGCCCTCTGGAACGATTTGCCCCCAGAGATACGAAGGATATCAGATCTCCGGGCCTTTCGCCGTGCCCTAAAAACTTTTCTTTTCCATCAAGCAGGGCTGGCGTGAACCCCCCCCCTTTTTTTTAGCTTTTTAAATTGTCAATGGGTTTTAGTTTGAATGTTTTAAATTTTGGGCCAAAGTCATGTAATTCTTTTAAAAAATTTAAATTTTGTATTGGTATGTGTTTTAGTTCTGGCTGTGCACCGCCCTGAGTCCACTAGGAGAAGGGCGGTATACAAATTGAATAAAATAAATTAAATTAAAATAAATTAAAATAAAATAAAATAAAATAAAATAAAATAAAATAAAATAAAATAAAATAAAATAAAATAAAATAAAATAAAATAAAATAAAATAAAATAAAATAATAAATAAATAAATAAATAAATAAATAATAAATAAATAAACAAATAAACAAATAAATAAATAAAACAATTAGAAAACCATAAAATAAGGATTACCTTAATAATAAATGTATTCTGCGAACCACTTCAACTATAAAACTTACATAGTTGACTAATATTAAAAGAAATAAATAGAAAATAGTTTAGTTTTAATCTTACATTTCTGCTGTACGTGGAACTTAAAATCTAATACTTCAAAACTGAATCTCTGTTGAGAAAGGAAAATCTTAGTCATTAAATTGCCCCTATGCCATTTAGAGTGCCTTGTAAAGTTAACATTGCACTTTATATCTCGGGGGCTGGAGGGGGGAATACAATTTTTTTTAAAAAAGTTGCTGAATAATTCTTTGTTTAATATATAGTGAAATATCTAGTGAAAGTAAGTAAGGTTTGGAAAAACACCTTTGAATCTTTTTTGGCATTGACTTACAGTTGTTCAAACAGCATTCTTTGAAGAGAATAGCAACCCTCCTCCAGGTGCTTTATTGTATTTCTCAAGGTCTTGCTAATAGTATTATTTGGCTGTGAGACTATAGGTAATTGTGACAAGAGAAACCAAATCAAGTTAATCTTATTCAGACTGTTTGTTCCCCAGGGCTGTCATATCAGGTGTTCTTTGAAGAGATGTTTAACTCAGATTCCTTTTGGGGATGAGTAAACTATCTTATAAACATTCTTTGTCACATCACAATATTTTTTATATGGCATTTAATTACAACAAAACATATTTATGTGCATATTTTTTCTTTACTCATCACAACATTTATGTTCAATATACTTGTGGAAGTTGATGTTTCAAAAATTACTTTTCATTGGTAATGAGAAATTGCAATGTTGGTTGCTTTGTTTAATAAGGAATAATATAACAACCTTTCTTCCCAGCCGCTGTTTCCACAAACAGTACTGCTTGCCCCATCAACTCCCTTGCAGAAGGAAAATCAGGTTTATTTGAAATAAAAACAGTTAATTTGCAATGATTTAAACAGGAAGTATTGATATGTAGCCCAACAAGGGAGTCAAAACTAATTGCTGAAGTTAAGGATGTTACCAATATGGAAACTAGGTGGTGAAATAAGTTCTAAAATGTTGCTCAGTTTTTGCTAAATATGCTTAGTTTTTGTAAAATACAATTCAAGTACAAGTGCAGTTGTAAAATACAATTTAAGTATAAGTGCATCCATTTGATACACATCCATTCTTTTAGTGAATGTTCGAAGTTATAACAACACAAAAATGTGACTTATAATTTGTCCTCACACTTCTAACCATTGCAGCATTTCCACAGTCACGTGATCAAAATTTGGGCACTTGGCAACCAGCATGTATTTATAATAGTTGCAGGGTCCTGAAGACATGTGAATACCATTTGCAATCTTTCCAGTTGGCTTCTGATGGGAGAGGTCGGATTCCCTTAATGAGCATGTGATTCACTTAACTACACTTTGGTATGTGATTTTCTTACCAAATCTGGCAAAAGTCATAAAATTAGGCCTGAGTCAATTAACAATCAACTTACTTAGCAATGGAAATTCTGGTCTCAATTGTGGTTATAAGTCAAGGACTACCTGTATTACTTACAACAGCACTGTAAATTAGGCCAACATAATTATCACATTTTCTGGAGTCCTTGGTTCTCTGAGCTTGGTTGTTTGCTTACAAACATTTCATTACCGGATTAGATAACATCATCAGTTAGGTAACCACCAAACTCAGAGAGCACCAAGGACTCCAAAAAATGTGATAATTATTCAATCCTGCGCTCACATATTATCTTCTATTGTAATTACATTTTAGATGCCAGAGTTCAGGCATAATGATTTTCCTGTGGCCTGTTTTTGAATTTTCCTTTGGCTATTCATCCGGGAACTTTGACTCAAAGTTCACATTCTTAGCTACACTATGTTTGATTCTGTTTCTCAGTCTTGAATTCTTGGTTCCTTTGATGAAACTTGGCCTTTTCAGTGAAGCGGTTTATATATTCCATCTCTAATTGAGGGCTTACTCTTCATAGAGCAATTTTGAAACTTTTAATTATTTTCTCTCTTGAGTTAAGTTCCTTTCCTTCCTCTCTTTACTAGAATCCTTTTTCCTTCATCTTGTGCCAGCTGTGGACATGTGAGAACATGAATCCCTGCCAGAGAAGCTCTGCATTTTAGAGAGCTTGGGTCTAGTCAGTGCCAGAGATGTTGTGCTCTCTTACAAAAAGAAAATGCTGAGGAATTGGTGTTTTTCTGCCATTACTAGACGGAGTGTTTTTGACTTTTAATACACTACCTGAAAACCAGCTCCTGAAGCACTGTGTATATGCATGTTGATTTCTGGTCATGTTTTCCTTCCTTTCTAGCTTGC